TTGTACTATCACCACTTGTAGAACCATTTGCATTTACTTGCAGAGACAGCCAGCCTGACAGGGCAAATGGCTGCTGCAGGAGACGAACTTTCTTATATTGTGCTATTTTTCAACAGTTCCCCAGTTAATAAATCTTTCATCCCAATCCTCAGCGTATCTCAGGTAGCTACGAAGTGAAGCAGTTAGCCAGCAGGTTGGACTGCATCCATTATGCTAGGGGAAAATGATGGATTATGAACAGTGAGATCAAATTGCAAGAAAAAGCTTAATAGAGCTAAGGACAGTTAGAAAGCTTCAGATTTTACCCTTCCTGGGGCTGCATGTCCAGGAGACTCTCTTTGCCTTGTACAGACCTTTGTGCACTGGGAGAGTCTGTGAAAAGGAGGTCCAAAACAAACCAGTCAAAGCTGCTTTTGGAGACTTTTCTAGGTCAGACTCTCTGGCACCTTCTCAAAGGGTCAAGTATCAAGTGGGGTAGCAATCTGCTGCTAAATGTAGTTGTGTTGCATATTAAACCAATTACCCTGGAAGCCGGTTTTATGTGGTAAGTTAGGTATCCACAATGCATATCATGTACCAGGGAAGCGTGTACTCTTCTATTTCACCACACAGACTATGATTACCTCTTTCCATAAAGTCTAAAAACAATTCCCTCTTTAAAAACTATCTTGTTGCCGCCAACTAAACCTTAAAAGATAAGACTTTCCAGCTATAATGAATGTCCCATAACGTACATTCCTGAGGGAATAGAAGACATGGGAGTTTTACATGTCCAGGAGACTACCGAGAAGTTTGACTGTTTGGACAACTGTTTTATTATTACAGAACTCCTTTTAGGAAATATTAGATTAATCAGCAACTCTTTGTGCTTCAAGTTAAACACAAAACATTTTTTTTCCCAGCATTAGTTTTCCTTCAATGCTTACATTTAGATAAAGAAACATTTTGTTTGGATAGACAGATAGACAGGCAGACACATGTTTTCGAGTGGTTTGATCCTGCAAGCTGCTCAAAACCTTTCTCTCTTAATTACATCAACAAAAATTATATATGGTCAGTATTTACAGAAAAGAAATACTCAATGAACACAAGGTAGAGACCAGGGTTTTGTATTAGGAACAGTTGCTTGATTTTATTTTACTGAAATTTGGTTGATTACGGTAAGAGAATTGAAGAAGCAGAGTTCTCTAAGGCACTGGTCTTACTGCCACCTGATATTTTGATTAAGTCTCTAGAGTGATACAAAATTAACATGCCATATATTAAGAGGATGAAAACTTAGCTATCTGGCATGTCTAAAATATAATTGTAAATGGGCAATCATTATTAAGCAGGTGTGTTTCCAAAAAGGTCCTGAAGGTATTGATTCTTGGCCTTATGCCACCTAAAATTTTTATCAATGGCTTTGAAGAAAACCAAGAACATAGAACATCAGTGATAAAGCTTGTAACAATTTGAGAAGAGGAAGTAATGAATATGTAACATGGACGGTTAAGTTCATGCTACAGGGGTATCTGAACTGTTGGTAAACTGCGTTTAAGCAAACAACTTTTCAGCACAGTCACACGTAAAGTTATATTTCTAGGAACAAACTATTACCCACAATTGCAGAATGGGATTTCTGTCTGGGAAGCAGTGTGATGGACCGTGAGCTGAATCTCAACTGTGTTCGTCCACGTCCAAAAGCACTAAGGCACCTCTTAGATGAATAAATAGAAATGTCTAGAAGGGAAATTACATTCTTTATTGGGCAGCCACTGGTTTAACTGGAACCCACAAGTTCCAGTGGGAATGTCCACTTCAAACTGAAAGGTTCCTTCCTTCTGTTTGAAACATACTTAGCTGACAGTCTGACTGACAGACTCCCTTTTGCTGTATAAGCAATTTTTTTAGTCCTGTTTCAGAGGTATGGTGGCTTTTTCTGAGTTGCATTCATAGGTTGAAGTCATTTTTTATTATGATGATCACCTATTGCCTTGTGACAGGCCAAAGCGAACTGGAAATGTAAATGATCTGGACACTGAGGAATGGAAGATATGCAATGTAGGGAGCATACTGGTGCTGGTAGAGTGCTGGAAAGAAAAGAGGCTGGGAATTTTTTGTCTTTCACTACTGAGAGGTATAATAGGATCTAATGTCTGCAAGTGATTTGTAAACAAAGAATGGATGTTTTTCTAGGCAATATACTCCAGTTTAAACAAGAATTAATCTAAGAAGGTCATGTAATGTGTATTCTAAAGGAGATCAGAACAGATTATCACAATAGTCCATTCTGCTTTTATAATCTGGCCTTAAATACATAAGCATTTTAAAAATAAATCAAGATTGGATATGAAGCAGTAACATGCCCCTATTATTCTTGGACTGTTGCTTGGAGTGGAAGAAAAAATATTGGTTGATAATACTGAAATTGTAAGCAGTCTGAATAAAACAGTGTTATAATTAATTATGATTTTTTTTCTATGTAGTATGCACGATAACAGAAAAAGACACACTTTAGATATTTTTAAAAAGCAAATATATAACTAAATAAATATAAGAAATAATTAGCTAGGCATGTGAATAAGGACTTTGCCTGAAATTCCTTCCTTTCTTCACTTAGATGTATTGTAATTTTTTTTACCTTGGTTTTGCACCAACTTCTCCTTAACTGTCAAAGTGTGTGCTAACTTCATGCAAGAGCTACTGTGGTTGTCAGTAGACTCATGATAACAATGCTTTTGTAGGGACAGAATATAATTGCAATGTTCTTTACACTTGTATGGGCTTATGGAATAATTCAAGTCTTATGGCAACGTTCACTACTTGCAAAGACATTAGTTAAGACTGTAATGATAACCACAAATAACCTGTCAGTATAGCCAGTTTCAGAGAGAGGCAAATGTTTATAGGTCAGACCCATTCTGCAAAACAACTTTCTATCTGCATAGTTTTATGCTCCTAATGCATGATGACAAAAATTTCTCATCTGTTTAGGTGTATTCAATACAAAGATGAGTAATTTCATTATGAAAGTCCGAAAGACTACCAAAAATATTCCAAGTGGCAAAAATAATGCATTTATTTGATTAGCAAGGCTTTCTTCATCAAACTCCTCTACTCTCTTCAAGAATTTTTTTATTATTGGACAGAAATGAATTATCTTTTCTTTTGTGGTTCCTCATGGTTTACATCATCCCACTTCTGAAGTTTGTATATGACCATATAATTTAATACTCAGTGCAAAGTTGTAAGTGTAGGTGAGTGGACAAAGAAAGTATTAGGATTATATAAACAATCTTAAATCTGACATTTCCTAATGTCTGAATTCTTCATTTGCACTCTTAACTCTTTTAGCCTTCATTTTTATGTCTACCACTTCCTTTTCTAAAAAGCAAACAGAAAAAAAAAAAGAAAGTCCATCAATAAAATTATATTGCTCTGTCAGTGGTCATTAGCAAGGCTGAGGTCTACAACTCCATCCTCAGAGCTCTGCTAGTGGAGCTATCAAAGTCTGTCTGGTTCAGCCCTCTCCCTCAGTCTCTTGGTTTAGCTGTTCCCCACTTTTCCTTTAAATCTCTCCCTTTGTCCCACTTCTCGTACTCTGCTTACCTTCACCTCCTTGTGCAGCTCGTTAAGTACAGATCTTACTTTATTTACCAGTCTTTTTAGCAAGTTTCCATATTTGGTCATTCCCTTCCAGTCCTTGGTCCCAGCTCCTTGTCAGACCCTTATCGTGCCATTCTGGTTTCTACTCCTACCCTCTTTCACCAGCCAGTCCCATCCCTCCAATGTCCCCATGCTTCATCTCACTCTGCCCTCCATTTGTCAGCTGGCTCTAATCAGTCTCTTGGCCCCATCAATCCTGTCATCATTTCTTTTATTTCCTCTTCCTAAGTCTTCAATCTCACCAGATTCCTGCTTCCAGTATCTCCTTTGGCCTAGTCTGTTTTCTGTCTTTTTTTCCATTCCTGTCAGAGAAACCCTCCCACACTTTCCTTCATGCTGCCTTCTTGCTGAAGAAAAGCTGAGTCCCTGAGGAATATGGCTTTTGACTTTCTACAACAACTGAAGTGGGGCACTGGTGGAGGAAAACTGGAAGTCTAGAAAAGGTACCAGGAACCCTAACTGTAATAAAAAAGGGGAGAGTGACAGGGAAAGGAGAAGCAACAGGGTGTTCTTGACAATATAATCTGATCTAGAAACTAAGGAACTAGACTTTGAATTAACATTTCAGGAGCTGTTCCTATGTCACAGCCCTCATATAACCTTGTGCAAGTCCTTTGGTGCAAGGTTCATTAAAAGATGCCGATATTCTCATGTACAACACACTTATGCTGGGCTTTCAGGCCCTTGGTCCCTAGTACCTGCAACTCTATGTCAGGCAGTTAGGCTTTATAACCAGTACATTAGGAGAGATACTTCAGAGACAAAGACAACTTGAACTTCAGAAGCATTGAGCATTTGAAAATTCAACTTGTCTCTCAAAATTTAAGGCCATTTTCTCAACATCTCTGTACGTTAATTTCGTTATTGACAAAATAATAACTATTAATATCTTGTGAGTGTTGTAAAGCATACTTCAGTTATGCTTTCCTAAGATCCCTCTACAGAAATAGTTTTCTGAGTGCAAAGCACAGTTATAATTATGAATGAGAAACACACTTTTGAAAGAGAAAAAAGGCCACAAAAAGAGATGGATAATATCATGAGTAGCTGTAAGTGTCAATCCTTAGTCAGATTTTTTGTCTATCTGCTGTTTTAGAGAGCCTGTTTACTGCTGTAGTCAAAAGCTGAAAAGCTGTGGCAGATAGCAGATGTACCAATTAATAACCTGTCAAGGCTGATGGATAGAATGAAAAAAAAAAATCTCACATATATCTCCTGTGTGTTTTTTCCCCCATATTTCAGGTCACTGGGGGTCATGAGATACACTCTGCCTCCCTGGAGATTGACGAAACTGTCTCATTAGCGTCTATCTTTCATGACATTAAGATGCTGCCTTTGAGATGCTAACTCACCTGTTCTTCTCCTAGAATCCTGAAGTGATGAAGCTCTTTAATCAAGGAGTCTGGACAGCCAGCTGTTGGAAAGAAACAAAAATAGGCATTTTAGAGCTTCCTGTCAGTGCAGTTTCAGCATAAGATACATAGATGCAGAGAGGATAGAATATACAGATTACCTTAGATAAAGAAGATTAGAAAGATTAGCCATGGTTCTGAGGGCACTGGAATGCTGAAAACCATCTATCAAATAATCCTGCCACATTTCCGAGCATGCTACCAAGAATGCTTAGAAAGGTTATATTCTGAATATTTTAGCCCTTTCCCCAAAGGACTACAAACGAAAGCAAGATGAAAAGGGCAGCACTGTCTGCCAGATACCTCCAGACCCTTAGCGTAAGCCAAAAAGCCTGTTAAAAGAGGATCTCACATCAAAACCTTGGAGCTGCCCAAAGCTGAATTCTGATTCACACACCAGGTTTGGACTCATTTCTAAGCATAATACAGGCCTTCCCTGATTCCCTGAAGGATTTCATAGGCCCCACAGATCACTTTAATTTGGGCTGTCACAAATATAACCCATTTCACAAATATGTAGTTGTCACCCACAGGTGTAATACACAAACCAACTACGCAGGCAGAGGAGCGATTTGCCAGAACTTTGCAATCAGATTAACGTTCAATCGCTACAGACTTTCACATCTGTACCAGCCAGTAAGAAAGAATGTCTTGCTAGATGCCATGCACTTTACTGACCTGTTCAGACTGTGATTACCTTCCTGGTGATGAAATCCAAGGCTGCTACGCACTTTTGTACACTACTAGACTCATTTCTGGCAAGAGATAAAAGTGCAGACTGTGAAAGCAATCTGGGCTTTATTCTTCTTACCAGAAGTTGAAGCATCTGCTTGTGAACAGAGAAAATTCCTTAAAAGGAATTAAGAGCATAGTTCTCCCCAGAACGTGGGGGGAACTATGAATTTTATCAACCTGCTTTTCTGCTGATGCAACTACAAATAGTTACCTCTCACTCTTAATGACTGCCATTAAAAGGATGCAAATGAATTTGGAGACAGTTGTCAATCTCCATCAGCACTGTGGCTTCACTCAAGGCCAATGAGGCATGGCCTACACCCTCAACTTTTGTTGGCCTAGCTGTCTTAGGGATACAAAGGGAAAAGCCTTTATACTTGCAAGCAACATAACTAAAAAAGGCAAAAACCCTACTATAGACACAATTATACTAGTACAAGTCTTCTACTGGTATAACTTTTTCTACTTAGGGAACTAATTTAAATGATATTCAAATCAGCTTCTTGCTGGTAAATGCTTTAACTCCATTCAGAGGAGGTACAGGTGGAGAATGCACCATCTACACCACTTTATCAGCAAACCCTTTTAAAGGTAGCCAAGGTTAAAGGTGGCCAAGGTTTAAGCATATGGTATGAATTATTAATGGCTTGTCTCTTATTAAATATTACTATTTCTTCCCATTTCATAAAACCTATGATACTCTTATAGGCTTCTTTCCACTCACCTTTTCCCCCCTCTCACACACAAGGATATTCACATATTTGAATGTGTGCGTTTTAGCTCTGAGTGAGTCTTTCTTAATGGATTTTTATTCTCCTCAACTTCTAGGACCACAACCCCTGTATCACCTTTAATTTTCTCTTCTCATTTCCCCCATGCTTTGGCTCTCACTGTTTATTCTGTTTCTTGTTCTCAATGCATTTAAAGTTGTCCTTACTACTTCCACCACAGAATCACTGCTATGCAGCATTTTTCTGTCCATTTTCACTGGGATTTACATGTCCACCTTCCAGCTCATCCAAACCCTGAATGTATCAATTGCTCTAAATGTCTCACTAACTTCTTGGCCTGAGGCCTGACTTGTAGTCCAGAGCTGTTGACTTCTCTGTGTTTCAGATCAGAACTCAGTGCATAAAACACAGTTGTTCTATCTTATCCTCAAGCCCTTATGTAATTATTAATTTTTTTTCTGCATGTAATTTTCCCTGAAAATATAGAATCATAGAATGGTTTGGGTTAGAAGGGACCTTAAAGATCATCTAGTTCCAATCCCCCTGCTGTGGGCAGGGATACCTTCCACTACACCAGATTGCTCAAAGCCCCATCCAACCTGGCCTTGAACACTTCCAGGGGTGGGGCATCCACAACTTCTCTGGGCAACATGTTCCAGTGCCTCTCCACCCTCATAGTGAAGAATTTCTTCCTTATAACTAATCTAAATCTACCCTCTTTCAGTTTAAAGCCATTATCCCTTGTTCTGTCACTACATACCCTTGCAAAAAGTACCACTCCAGCCTTCTTGTAGGCCCCTTCAGGTACTGGAAGGCTGCTATAAGGTCTCCCCAGAGCCTTCTCTTCTCCAGGCTGAACAACCCCAGATCTCTCAGCCTGTCCTCATAGGAGAGGTGTTCCATCCCTCTGATCATCTTCATGGCCCTCCTCTGGACCCACTCCAACAGGTCCATGTCCTTCTTATGTTGGGGGCCCCAGAGCTGCATTGATTGTACACTGCTATAGGAATTTCTAAGTGTAGAGGATAATTATGATTTCATGTAATACTGCGTGTTAATCTTTGACAGATGTTAGCTTTGTAACACCAACTAAACTGCTTTCTGCTTGTCTCTGCTTTTTGCAGTCTTTACAGCTTCTTCTTTAACCAATCATTTCTTTCTTCCCTCTTATCCTTTCCAATTTATTATTCACTACGTCCCTTAAGATGGGAAAGTTTATCTTTTCTTGCCTAGCAAGAACTTTTTCTCTTTCCATTCTCCTTGAAATCATATTTCCTGAATGCCTATTTCTCCCAGAAATCCATCCCATTCTGCCCTCATGCATAATTTATATAATTATGCGAACCGCTTCTATGCATCCTCTCTTTCTTCCATGTTAGAGACTATAAACAATTCGGAACCAAGGATCTTTGTAAAAAAAAGTGTAAAAGTATGAAGAGATATATAGACATATATATAAACACATATATGTTTATTTTAAGTGTTACTAGTTGTCCACTGCTGCATTCTCTTCCCAATACAATATTTTGTATAGTCTATTTTTCAGAGACTTGCCCAATCTAGTTCTCAATCTTTTCATAGTCCAGACTTTCAGTGAATCTTGAAAGCTGATTATACAAGAGATCCTGAAGTTACTGGCAAAGGAGGAGAGAGAGCTTAAAAACCATGTCACTGTTGGCATGATGCTTTCCAGCAATGAGTTCAGAAATGTCAAATGCGTGCAATAATGAATTATACTGACACACATTAACAGTCTGCTGTCTGTAAGAAGTCACTTCAGATCTTCACATTGCAGAAGCAATTATTTGAGGAAACAATGGAAGTTATTGTTGTCAAACAATAATTTTAGGAAAAAATGGAAATGAAGAAACATGGAAAACAAAAAAAGAAGTAAGATAGAAACATCCTTTCTTTTTGGATATTTCTGGATGTATTTCTGATATTTCCTATTTCTATTTTAATTTCTTCTGTTCTGTAAGCAGACCTTTGTAAAACATGCTCCAATGTTGTGACCCATTTTTACCAAATATCTGGGAGTTTTGAAAGAGTCTTGGATGATGTTAAATTCCTGCACTGTCACGAGAGACAAAAGCTAGAGACAAATAACCATTCCATAAATAAAAAGAAAAGAGATTAAAAAATACCTATTCTGCTGAAAAGCATTAAGAACTATTTGTCAACTCACCCACAAACCCATGCATATATTCATCAACATATTCATGTATATGCAAACACACATGGGGACTTGAAAATTATTAAAAGTTAAGCATAGCACCCAATGGGTTCACTGGCAAACTGTGCACACCGAAAGTTAAAAGAAAAATGTATTTTCTAAGTCTCTGATGTGCAGCTAGCGCGTGCCACATGAAATAAATAATCTGCACTTTACAGATTTCTGCTATTTTGTGTAGAATGCTTTGAGGATTAGTTTTTATGCCTTTTAATCAATGGTCTCAAAAATTACTGAAACTTTCCATTTCCCTCTTCCCAATTATTACTTGAAAAAGTACACGCATACCTGAAATTTCCACAGACATAAACCGAACCATAGGAATATTAAATAGATCAATCAATAACAATTACGTATAAGAGTGTTAAAAGGAAAGGATGCAAAAGCATGGAAAATTGCCTTTAATCAGAAGCCAATAGTCAAGACTGAGGACATCTGCAGAATGATAAAATGGCAGCTAAATTGTTTATTAGTTCCCTCTTTCAACTCACTTTCAAGCCTATGTGTTTCATATGTTCTTGGCTACAATGACTGTTATAGGTTTTTGCTAACTGAAGGCAGAGCAAGATGTAAGAAATATAAAATTGATGCAAATCTTTAGTATTTTTATACCACTTTTTTTTATACCACTCTAACATAGTTCCATTGACCTCAAAGCAATAAGACCCATAAAACTAATGTGATGTCTTAGGAATGAGCCTGCGTCTAAGCAGGAAACTAAGTTATGAAGGGATGAGACCCAGTTCAAAGCACCAGCAGCTTTATAAACACACCACAAGTAATTTCTTTGCTTCTATTTAAGCATTTATTACTTAAATTTAAGCATATCATTTGCTTCTAAATGTTCCATCATACCCTAGATGAATTATTTGAATAATTTTGTTGTTGCTTGATTCTCATATTGCTTTATTATTTAACTCCAAATGCTGCACTTATGAATGAAAGGTACATTCAAAGTTACAGAAATTTGCAACTGTAAATTTAAAGTTTATATTGTGGTGTTCTCTTCATAAAGATAGATATTTTTAATCTGTTCATATAAGTATATGTATCTCCAAGAGAAGAATAAAGAAGTAAAATTTAGGAAGGACAGTTTAATGTCTCCTAACATCATAAATCCCCTGATTTCAACTGGTCTGAACACACATTTTCAGCTACACTTGTAATTAAACTATGATTCTAACGACTACTAATTTAATTACCCAAGTCTTAACATATTTTTTCTCAGACAGAATTAGCTTCTGGTTTTGTTTTTGCTTAAAATTATCACTTTGCATGACTTATGTTCTCCAGTGGGAAGGCAAAA